ACAGGCCGGGTTTTCTTCTCTACTCTACCGCCGGTCTTCTTTTTGCCTCCGTCCTAGACGGCCCTTGACGGGTGTTGCCTCCGTGTTTCCCACTCCACTGGGCACGATCACTACTCCCTGCTCCTCCACTGCAGCATACGGCGGACCTCCAAATCGGAACATCACGGTGGCCTTCCGCTTCAGCTCCTTGTTTTCTGCTTTCAGCACACTTATCTCTGCTCGCGCATCCTTATACATGCGTTGGAGCAGCGCCAGTTGGGCGTTTAAATGCTGCACCTCATTTGTCCTACTCTGCAGCCGGTTCGACAAGTTTGTGACCGCCGTCATGCTTTCCACACATGCCTTCAAAGTTTTACTGATTAGCCTCCACATCCGTTTGCACTGCCATTTTTGCTCCACCGACTGCATCGGAAAGTTCAACGGAGCAAACCAGTGGTGTTTGGTTGAGGTTCACGGGACACTCGCACCAGTTCTCTCTCCTGTGGACTCGTTGAGATCGGGAAAGAGAGTGAGCAGCCCACGGGACGACGAAGCCATTTTTCTCTCGCAACAGAGTGTTACAGACTCTCTCTCTCAGCACAACAGTGTTACAGCCTCTCTCTCTCAGCACACGCCAGAATTCTTCAGAGGTTTCTCTCAGTTTCTTGTCTCAGCCTCTGCCTCGGCCTCAGCTCCGTCTTGGTTAAATAGCCGAGGCAGCCACGCGCACGCGCGCCTCTTCTCGCCGACAAACTGGCACGCCTTTTCATGGCACGCCTTTTGATGCATTCGGGCACGCCTTTTGATGGCACGCCTTTTGAGGGTACGGGCACACCTTTTGAGGGCACGACTTTTGAGGGCTCGATATCTACATCATGTATATTTTTTGGGCAGCCTATATACACACTCATACAGTGTCTTCTACACCGGTCAGCTTTATCAAATCCCTTTGTTTCAACCTCAAATAGGTTTACACAGTGATCATGTATAAGTCGCTCATGGCGCACTCCCTAAGTCGCCCCCTGGTGCACCACCACAATTCTCTACAAACGGTCCGACATGACCCCGTAAAGTTCTTCTACATCAGTCTGACACGACCACACAAGTCTGCTACAACGGTCCGACATGACCCCGTAAAACTGTCTGCTACAACGGTCCGAACATTGACCCCATAAACTGTCTGCTACATCGGTCTGATACGACCATACCCCGACATTGATTCCGGTCAGCTTCTACAACGGTCCGACATGACCCCGTAAACTGTCTTCTACATCAGTCTGACACGACCACACAATGTCTACTACAACGGTCCGACATGACCCGAAACTGTCTGCTACAACGGTCCGACATGACCCCCATAAACTGTCTGCTACATCGGTCTGACACGACCATACCGTGTTCTCCTATTTTATTTTATTTCTCAGTTTACTTTCCTGTTTTGTTACTCTCTCCAAACTCAAGTTGGTTAGTACCTATCCTCTTGAGTTTGAGGGGGGCTGTTAATATTAATATATATATATCTACATAGATAATATATATAATCTATATACATAGATTAGATTAATGTTAGTTAGTGGCATTATGCTTTCGGCTGCTTTTCCTTTCTGTCCCTTTCCTATGATGGTGTTTGTATAGCTTTAGCATCTTCTCATCTCTATATATAAAGGAGTGTGTGTATCTATTGTAAATCAACAAATCAATACATAATTCATTTTTCTCTATTCTCTATACATAAAATCTAACACCTCACATAGCCCATTTTACTAGTAATACATCAACTTTCATATGCCCAACCACATGTATTTATAAATATATTATATATATATATATTGAGGTGCTTCAAGTTGAATCGGATGCTCAATTATTAAAATAAATATGTATATATTATAATGGTATAAATGTGATGCGTTTATAATATACATTTACGCTCTTAGAAATTTTGATGAAGAAGAAAGATTGGGTGAATTTGAAACTATTTGGGAGTTCTCTATCATTATAATCATTCAAACAGTATTTTATGAGCATTGTTTGGAGGAAAAACAATATGTTACAGAACGTTTGAATAGTTTCTTGGATTGCGGTTTGTAATGAAATATCTATAGTTATATACCATCCAATGATTATGAAAAAAACTACATAGCTTTAATAAGGGGGTCATGCTTAATAACATCTACAGCTAACGTTATACATATCTTAATGTGGATAGAGATAATTTTGCCATGAGATGATGGTTTCCTCCAACCAACGGTCTATGCCAACCACCGGAGGTGATGATCAAAGGAGGTCAATGAGTGAAAAGTTGCTGCATAAAAATTATTTTTATAATTTATTTATTTATTTATTTTTGTGTGTGATATACAGAAGAAATTTAGTAAATTTTGGTGAAATGTTTATGATATTTTTAAGGGTGGTGTTAATGTTTACCCTTGAAGTACATGCTAAAGAAAAAGTTTGTAAATATTGTACCATAATTATTACAATACTTTCATTTAAAATGTACAATACTTTCAAAACTTCTTAACATTGTGCAAGGCACACAAAAACAAAAATCTAGTTTTTAAAAATGAAATAGACAATAATTTGTAAAAATAAACGCAACCAAACAAGCCCAGGACTAATCTTCCAACCAAAGAAGTCTGGTATCACAAAATTTTAAAATTTAAAAACAAGATAATTAAAAAAATAACCAAAAAGTTGGTAATTACAAAATTAAATATTAAAACAAAATAAATTAAAAAATAACAAGTCCGTTTTCTCAGATAATTGTACTTCCGAATATTGTCTAGTACAAATATGCAGCAAAGATTGCATTCCTTGCTTCTAACTATGCTCTGTGCGGAAATTTAACAACCACCTTCAGTCTGCAGACTAAATCAACTGGCTGTGTGTCTCGGAAACCTTCAGACAACAAAAACAAAAGGCAAAACAAGATAATTGAAACTCCAATAGAACTCGGTAATATATCCATTTTCATAATGGCCTTTTGTTTGGAAAGCCAAAGTTTGATTTTTTTTTTTTTTTTTTGACTATTTTAGCCCCAAAACTACAAAAAATAACATTTTTAGCTTAATAAAGACAAAACACACATTCAACCCATAATCATTACATTCTTCCTTCACAAGGGCAAAAAAAACCAAAAGCCTGTGTCCAAACGAGATTTTTTTAGCCCCAAGCTAAAATAGCCAAAAACAATAAAAAGCCAACCCACTTCCAAACGAACCCCATAATAAGATATTATGATAACTTGGGGAAATAAAATTTATGCCCGCAAAAAAAATGACAAACAAGCAAGGCAAATAACAAAATAGAACAAAGAACCAAACTAGATGAATGACTATAATCACAAAACAAAAAACAGAGTAAATCCAATCCAGTTACCCTTGTTGGAGCTGCAAAAACCCAACTCCAACAAGTCCTGAGCTGTGACGAGAGAATTGGAATGAGAGCCGAAAGCAAATGGTTCTCCACTGAATATAATTTAAAATCCTAACTGTAACACCACATTTCCACCAGATAGTGGAAACTATAACTTCTTGTTTAGGAAGGCCAATGCGAGTGTATCAATAAATTAAGTTTACCATTAGGCTACTTATTACTCAAATAATAATTTCTTAGGGTAAGCCGTTAAGAAAAAATAATATTTAATAAGGAAATCTAATTCTATAGCAGTCATTTTTTTAATACATTTTTTTATTTTTTCATTCATTTTTTAAGCTAATAATTATGATCTTAGTGTGTAATTAAACTGGATCTTATTTTAAGGCAATTAGTGGTTGATAATAAATTAATATAATAAAAAAATCTACTTATAATTTATTTATAAGAGAAAACAAGCAGACGCATTTACACCATGTATTAAAGTCAAATTATAAAACTTTAGTTATACATCTATGTGAAATTTGAAATAGTTGCGATCGTGGAAATAGTAATCATGAAATATTGGACCAACACTAAGTAGCCGGAAACTTCTAGGAAGGTGACGTATTCCGTATCGTGTTCGTGTCGGAACCGACACTCTTTGGACACGTGTCTGACACTCTTACAGTGTCAATTTTTAATTTTTTATTTAAAATCCAAACCACTCTTTAAACACTTGGAAGGCACATGTGTCAATCACTTAAGATACACGGTCTATTGATTGAACAGCATGTGGAAACTAATTATAAAGTTTAATACAACAACAATTTAAGAATATAATAATAAAACAAACCCATAAATTTAATAGAACATTAATGCGCTAATTGCATTTATATTTATATTGAATTATATATTTATATTATAATATATAATATATATATAAAATTATATATTTCATGCGTGTCCCGCACGTATTCGGTTCCTGGTATTTTTGAAAATTAACGTGTCAGCGTCGTCCGTATCGTATCCTGTCGTGTCACGTGTTCCGTGCTTCTCAGGGACCAACAGAATAATTTTGAAAATTTAGGGGGCCACCATGGCCCCTTGTGATCTTTAAATTGTCTGTGCTGCTACCTATTGAAACTCCATAAAATCCACACTTGTCAAGCCGATAAATAGTAATATGTTCTGCTATTCCTGAATCGTAAACTTAATGCTACCTCTATTAAAATGCCTACAGAAAATAATAGAATGCGGAACTAAAGCCAAATATACACAATCATTCAGAAGCCTTTTGGTCCGAGAGAAGTGTCATTAACGGCTCTGTTTGGAAGAAAAAGCCCAGCTTTTTTTGCTAATAAAAGCCAGCAAAAAAACAAAATACGGCATTCTTAGCCACAAAAACAAAAAACATCAAATCCAACCATAATCATTAGATTGGGCACACCTTTTGAGGGCACGACTTTTGAGGGCTCGATATCTATATCCATGTATATCTTTTGGGCAGCCTATATATACACTCATACAGTGTCTTCTACACCGGTCTTTATCAATCCCTTTGTTTCAACCTCAAATAGGTTTACACAGTATCATGTATAAGTCGCTCATGGCGCACTCCCTAAGTCGCCCCCTTGGTGCACCACCACAATTCTTCTACAACGGTCCGACATGACCCCGTAAACTGTCTTCTACATCAGTCTGACACGACCACACAATGTCTGCTACAACGGTCCGACATGACCCCGTAAACTGTCTGCTACAACGGTCCGACATGACCCCATAAACTGTCTGCTACATCGGTCTGATACGACCATACCCCGACATTGATTCCGGTCAGCTTCTACAACGGTCCGACATGACCCCGTAAACTGTCTTCTACATCAGTCTGACACGACCACACAATGTCTACTACAACGGTCCGACATGACCCCGTAAACTGTCTGCTACAACGGTCCGACATGACCCCATAAACTGTCTGCTACATCGGTCTGACACGACCATACCGTGTCTCCTATTTTATTTTATTTATCAGTTTACTTTCCTGTTTTGTTACTCTCTCCAAACTCAAGTTGGTTAGTACCTATCCTCCTTGAGTTTGAGGGGGGCTGTTAATATATATAATATATCTACATAGATAATATATATAATCTATATACATAGATTAGATTAATGTATAGTTAGTGGCATTATGCTTTCGGCTGCTTTTCCTTTCTGTCCCTTTCCTATGATGGTGTTTGTATAGCTTTAGCATCTTCTCATCTCCTATATATAAAGGAGTGTGTGTATCTATTGTAAATCAACAAATCAATACATAATTCATTTTCTCTATTTCTCTATACATAAAATCTAACACCTCACATAGCCCATTTACTAGTAATTAACATCAACTTTCATATGCCCAACTCACATGTATTTATAAATATATATATATATATATATTGAGGTGCATTCAAGTTGAATCGGATGCTCAATTATTAAAATAAATATGTATATATTAATAATGAGTATAAATGTGATGCGTTTATAATTATACATTTACGCTCTTAGAAATTTTGATGAAAGAAGAAGATTGGGTGAATTTGAAACTATTTGGGAGTTCTCTATCATTATAATCATTCAACAGTTATTTTATGAGCATTGTTGGAGGAAAACAATATGTTACAGAACGTTTGAATAGTTTCTTTGGATTGCGGTAGTTGTAATGAAATATCTATATTATATACCATCCAATGATTATGAAAAAACTACATAGCTATAATAAGGGGTCATGCTTAATAACATCTACAGCTAACTGTATACATATCTTAAATGTGGATAGAGATAATTTTTGCCATGAGATGATGGTTTCCTCCAACCAACGGTCTATGCCAACCACCGGAGGTGATGATCAAAGGAGGTCAATGAGTGAAAAGTTGCTGCATAAAAATTTATTTTATAATTTATTTATTTATTTATTTTTGTGTGTGATATACAAGAAGAATTTAGTAAATTTGGTGAAATGTTTATGATATTTTAAGGGTGGTGTTAATGTTTACCCTTGAAGTACATGCTAAAGAAAAAGTTTGTAAATATTGTACCATAATTATTACAATTACTTTCATTTAAAATGTACAATACTTTCAAACTTCTTAACATGTGCAAGGCACACAAAAACAAAATCTAGTTTTTAAAAATGAAAATAGACAATAATTTGTAAAAATAAACGCAACCAAACAAGCCCAGGACTAATCTTCCAACCAAAAGAAGTCTGGTATCACAAAATTTAAATATTAAAACAAAGATAATTAAAAAAATAACAAAAAGTCTGGTATTACAAAATTTAAATATTAAAACAAAGATAATTAAAAAAATAACAAGTCCGTTTCTTCAGAAAATTTGTACTTCCGATATTGTCTAGTACAAAATGCAGCAAAGATTGCATTTCCTGCTTTCTAACTATCTCTGTGCGGAAATTTAACAACCACCTTCAGTCTGCAGAACTATCAACTGGCTGTGTGTCTCGGAACCTGTCAGCACAAACAAAAACAAAAGGCAAACAAGATAATCTTGAAACTCCATAGAACTCGGTAATATATCCATTCATATGGCTTTGTTTGGAAAGCCAAGTTTGGATTTTTTTTTTTTTTTTTTTTGACTATTTTAGCCCAAAAACACAAAATAACATTTTTAGCTTAATAAGACAAAACATCACATTCAACCCATAATCATTACATTCTTCCTCTCACAAAGGGCAAAAAAACCAAAAGCCCTGTCCAAACGAGATTTTTTAGCCCCAAGCTAAAATAGCCAAAACAATCAAAAAGCCAACCCACTTCCCAAACGAACCCATAATAAGATATATGATACTGGGAATAAATTTATGCCCCAAAAAAATGACAAACAAGGCAAGGACAAATAACAAAATAGAACAAAGAACACAACTAGATTGAATGAAAATTAATCACAAAACAAAAACAGTCTAGTAAATCCAATCCAGTACCCTTGTGGAGCTGCAAAACCCAACTCCAACAAGTCCTAGCTGTGGCACAAGAATTGAATAGAACTTCCGAAAGCAATGGTTCTCCATGAATATATTTTAAAATCCTAACTGTAACACCATCATTCCCACCAGTAGTGGAACCATAACTTCTTGTTTAGGAAGGCCAATGCGAGTGTATCAATAAATTAAGTTACCATTAGGTACATTATTACTCAAAAATAATTTCTTAGGTAAGCGTTAAGAAAAAAATATATATTTAATAAGGAAAATCTAATTCTATAGCAGTCATTTTTTAATACATTTTTTATTTTTTCATTCAATTTTTAAGCTATATAATTATGATCTTAGTGTGTAATTAACTGGACCATTATTTTAAGGCAATTTAGTGGTTGATATAATTTAGATAAATAAAAAAATCTACTTATAATTTTTATAAGAGAAAACAGCAGACATTTACACCATGTATAAAGTCAAATTAATAAAACTTAAGTTATTACATTCTATGTGAAATTGAAAATAGTTGCGATCGTGAAATAGTAATCATGAAATATTGGACCAACCTAAGAAGCACGGACACTTCTAAGAAGGTGACGTATCCGTATCGTGTTCGTGTCGGACACCGACACTCTTTGGACACGTGTCTGACACTCTTCAACACGTGTCCAATTTTTAATTTTTTTTTAAAAATCCAAACACTCTTTAAACACTTGGAGGACACATGTGTCAATCACTTAAATACACGTGTCTATTGATTAGACACATGTGAAACTAATTATAAGTTTGAATACAACAACAATTTAAGATATAATAATAAAACAAAACCCATATAAATTTATAGAAATTAATGCCATATTGCATTTTATATTATATTTGAATAATATATTTATATATATAATATATAATAAATATATAAAATTATATATTTCATGCGTGTCCCCCACGTATCGTGTCCTGTATTTTTTGAAAATTAACGTGTCAGCGTGTCCGTATCGTATCCGTGTCGTGTCACGTGTCCGTGCTTCTCAGGGACCAACAGAATAATTTTGAAAATTTTAGGGGGCCACCATGGCCCCTTGTGATCTTTAAATTGTTCTGTGCCTGCTACCATTGAAACTCCATAAAATCCACACTTGTCAAGCCGATAAATAGTTAATATGTTCTGCTATCCTGAATCGTAAACTTAATGCTACCTCTATTAAATGCCTACAGAAAATAATAGAATGCGGAACTAAAGCCAAATATACACAATCATCAAGAAGCCTTTTGGTCCGAAGAGAGTGTTCATTAAGGCTCTGTTTGGGAAGAAAAAAGCCAAGCTTTTTTGGCTAAAATAGCCACAAAAAACAAAATAGGCTATTTTAGCCACAAAAAACAAAACATCAAATCCAACCCATAATCATTACAATCCTCTCTCACAAAAAAAGCCAAAAAAGTCAAAAAACCCTTCCCAAACCAGGCTAAAATAGCCTAGGCTAAAATAGCCAAAAAAACAACCCACTTCCCAAACGGAGGCTAACTAGTGTTTAGTGCCCATGCTACTAAGGCTATTTTGTTTAGGAGCTAGAAACAACATTGTTGAATCATGCTACATATCTTGTATTGTAGTATCACTTCTTTCGTATCATGTATGCAATTGCTATTTTCTGCATAAATTAGATGCCTACTGTTTTGTCATGGACTTTTCTTGCAACTATTTATGCATTTGTCTTTGTTGGAAATAAGAGCCCCCTCTCTCCATGCCTCCCCATCTTTCTATAATTATAAGATCATAAGATTTCTGACCCATGTTCTAAAAATCAATTCCACACCTCATAAAGCAACTTTGAGTTGCGCAAACAAAAGCAAAACAAAAATCAATTCAATAGGTCAAAATATGGTAGGGAAAAACATCATGAGTTTTTTATACTCTCAAAAGAAATTAAGACAATTTGTTTAACTCTATTGTCAAGACCACTTTTAAATACAGTTTTATGCCCAAAACACAGTATTCCTAGAAACAAAATTTCTTCCCCTGAGCAACTTAACAAAAACAGAAAAAGATAATTCTCGATTGAAACATTTTCCTTTCCCTTCCATTTTAAACCTTAGCATATACATACATATATGTATATATATTTACATACATAGATCTATGAAAAGAGTAGAGAAAATGCCGATCAAAAAAAAGAAGAAAAAAGAGTAGAGAAAAAACAAAAATACGAGTGATTAAAACTTGTAATACAATGGCTCGCATCTAGATCTACCAGATCTTCCAAAAGCATAATGCTTTTATTTTCCTCCGCTTATAACATCTTCAAAGATGTAAATCAAAACTAAGATCTCTATGCGTGAGAGGTTGAGAGACGAAGACAGTTGAGAGGAATTTTGGAATTTTGGAGTTTAAAGGTCTTGATTTGTTAGGGTTTCTGATAGAGATGATGGAAGAATTAACGAAAAATTTAATACACAAAAGAGAGTGATGTATTGAATTGGCGAGAGAGGGAGAGAGTAATTTGCAGAATTGGGGGGAGAGAGAGAGAGAGACGGTGATGCGTTGAATTGGAGAGAGAGATAAGAGAGTGAATTGAATTGGAGTGAGAGAGAGACAGTGAGGTAGAGAAAGAGAGGGTGATGTGTTGAATATAGAGTCCGAAATAATGAGCTGGATCAATTAGGGTCAATCAATGTCTTGGGAAGATAAGTTGGATTGATAATAGTCAATGTTCTGGGAAGGTAAGGGTACTATTACTAACCCATCAAATGGCAACACGTGGATATATCTATATATACGAAATACGGCTGGATCAGAAACGATTTCATTTGTACTAAAACTGATACTTGACTGAATCTCAAGAAAATTTGAATGATTTAAACTACAACCGACCATTGAAATCAACAAAACCATCTGTGATAGAGACGGGTCAGTCGGCCTGGATAGTATTGATCGGGTAGGCGGTTATTTGAACACCACCCCATAGTTCAAAAGGTTCATGTCCACATTGAAACCAATGCAGAAACATCCTGGTTCCATAGTATGGAATGCTTCAATGACCACTATTAATAAATCCTATGAGATAGTTGGGTGACAAATAGACAAAATAAAACAGATGGCAAAGAAGTACAAAGCAAACTAAAAGGGACCCTGGCATTGAAGCCCCAAAAATGGTAAATTGAATTGTCTTTTTAAGTTCATATACCTGCAATTTGAATATGTTAAACAATTCACAAATATATTATGCTAACTAACACCGTGGTGGAGGTAGTGAAACTACACCATACTCCAGCACCAGGGCTACAAAAGTATCGGATGGTTGAACTACATTACATTCTCACGTAAAAACACTATAGTATCATAACTCATTACATACATCAAAGGATAACAATCTCAGAAGCAGTAAACTTTATATTCCATTGAACTAATAGGTTGAACTAATAAAAGCAGGACTCAGCTAATTATTCAGGCCCCAGCATAGACTTCTTCAATATGAGAATATGAAAATGCTATAACATCCTTGGTTTCATAAATATAAACCAGGAACCATGTAAAGAAAAGATATGGTTTTAAATGTAGAGTAATCATAGGTAGAAAAGTGATATAGACATGTCATGAACTATAACCAATGATGTAGACAATTTTTTTGGCTTACCCACCAAAAATAAAAAAGAGCAAAACAATATATGACAACAATAAATCAGGTTCACATGAAGTTTTCTTACCTAGCGGCCAAAATAGGAGGGAAAGGTAGTTGCCGCAGATCCAAAACCAGATTGTGGCCTTGTTGCTGCCGCTGCTGTTGCTCCTGCAGAAGAATGTCCCAATTGAGCGTTCTGGTAAGCACCGAGACCCTGCATAGCAGCTTGGGAACCGTAATTACCCTGTAAAGCAGCTTGAGAACCATAACTACCCTGCAAAGCAGCTTGGGAACCATAACCACCCATCAAGCTCGGGTTTACGCTATTAATGCCATAATTCCCACTGAAACCCAATGATGGGTTTGCCCCCATGGACGGGGGCAACCCAGTCTGATTCAATGCCGAGGCCATCATCGGATTTGCCAACCCAATCCCGGGATTTTGGCCCATCATAACTGCAGCCGTATTAACATTTTGACCAAGAATTCCCGGATTCATACCCAAGCCATAATTCATGGTGTTTATCTCACTCTGCTGTATTGAAGCAACACCACCACCACCAACAGACGCACCCAACACAACTGCCTGGTTTTTATTATTCCGACCTTCGGCAGCTCGCCGGCACTGCATTTGAATCCCTTCAAACACCTTCACAGGCTCTTCCAATGCCTTCTTACAATCCTTTTCATTCTTGTATATAAAAATTGCAAACCCTTTTAGCTTCCCAGTCACAGGGTCATGACCCAAAGGACCTTCCTCAATTTCCCCAAATTTCGCAAAGAAAGATCGAAGCTTTTCGGGATTCACATGAGACCCGACATTCGCAACATAGATTTTCCTACCAGCTGGCTCTTGACCGGCCTGATTGTTGGGGACTCCGGCAGAGGCGAGCTGGCACGAGGCCATTCGATTCCCGATCTTCTTCTGGCGCTGCTTGAGGGCTTTCTGTGCTGCGATTCGAGTCTTGAAGAGTACGAACCCATAACCCTTTGCTCTTCCTGTGACTTTGTCAGTGACGACCTTGCATTCTTCGATTTCGCCGAAGGGTTTGAAGATTGAGAGGACTTGTTCGGTTGTAGCGTCCCATCCGAGGCCATGAATGAAGACATTGCGATGAGCCGGATCGGACTCCGCCGATTGAGTGATTCGAGCGATGATACTAGGGTTCTTGAGAGCGGCTTCTTTGAGCAAATCAAGGATTTGTTCTTTGCCGAAGGGTTCGAGAAGCTTTCTCATAGTTTCTTTCTTCAATTCATCATCATCTTCTTCTTCTTCTTCTTCTTCTTCTTCTTCTTCTTCGTTTTCTTCTGATTCTTCTTCGGACTCTTCTTCCGATTCCTCTTCTGATTCTTCTACTTCTTCTTCAACTTCTTCTTCTTCTTCTTCTTCTTCTTCGGATGATGAATCGGGCTTTGCAATTACTTGTTCTTCGACTTGAGCTTGTGCTTTTCTCTTTTTCGCCATTGAGACCAAAATCTCTCTATCGCATACAGCTAGGGTTTCAGTTTCGTTCTGCTTTACAACAAGAGTGACTTCTCGCTAGCAAGGTTCTCGTAATTATACCCTTTTTTTTATTTTCTTTTTTTAAGACCAACTCTAACGCTACGTTTGGATCGAATGATTTGAAGCGAAAAGAAAAAAAAAAAATGAAGAAATATGTATTTTTTTTTATTTGTTTGGATAATTTAAGTGGAGAGAAATAAAAAGAAATGAAGAAAAATTCATTTCTCTTATAAGTTTCATTTTCAATCTTTTCAAAATTGGATAGATTGGGAGAGAAAAGAAACCACTATTTTCATAATACTAATTTTGTCCCTACAAAAATAAAAGAAATAAAATAATTGAAAATATAAAAAGGTTATTTTGGTAATATAATATAAAATAATTTCTTTTATTTTCTTTTCTCTTAATGAAATCTAACTAAACAAGAATGAGAGAAATCATAATCATTTTTTTTTATTTCTTCCTTATCTAAATAAAAATGAGAGAAATCACAATCATTTCATTTCTTTTCTTTTATTACTTAAGTAATCATTTCTAGTTCGTTAGGTTTGGAATACTTATGGGCTAAAATATTTTTTGATAAATTACACTGTTACCCCTTGAGGTTTATATTTATTACAGTTCATTTTTTCACCTTTTATAAATTACATCTTCCTTTATGAGGTTTAAAGTTTCATTATAGATTCCCTTCAGTAATTTAATTTTTTTAAATACCAAGTTTTCCCTCACTAAGTAAATTACATTGACACCGCTCACATTTTAAAAATTACAATCCCCTCCCTAAGGTTTAAAGTAGCATTACCAATTGTCCCCTTGGTTACTATTAGTTGGAAAAAAAAATTAATTAGAAAAAAAATTAATTGAAAAAAAAATTTGTTAGTAAATTTTTAAATTTCTGTTTAAAAATCAACATAAACTCATTTTTTGAATTTACGTTTTTTTCTCAAATTTACAAACTGAGACAACAATTTATAAACCAAAAAAATTATCAAACAAGTTTTTATGACAGTTTTTAAAATTTTTGTAAATATAAATTGAAAACTGAAAATGAAATGGTTACCAAACAAGTCTCAGATGATAAAAATGTCGTAAAATTAACTAATAATTAAATAAGTTACCAACGTAAGAAATGATTTATCAAAAGATTCTTAGGCTATGTATGGTTTGATTTTTAGAAAAAAAAATTAAAAATTAAAAATTAATTTGGTTAAGAAATAAAAAATAATTATCATTTAAGGGTAAAAAATAATTATCATTTTAACTTTTGGGCATGTTATATACATACGTATGACTGTTTAAATTTAATTTGTAAAAAATTATTTCTAACTACTCGAAAAATAAAAATTATATAAAAATGATAATTATTTTTTATTTTTTAACAAAATTAATTTTAAATTTTTAAATTTTTTTTCTAAAAATCAGACCATACATAGCGTAAGAATCTTTTAATAAGTCATTTCTTATGTTAATAACTTATTTAATTATTTGTTAATTTTATGACAATTTTACCATCTAAAATCTGTTTGGTAACCATTCCGTTTTTAGTTTTCAATTTATATTTGCAAAAATTTTAAAAATTGTCATAAAAACTTGTTTGATAATTTTTTTGGTTTATAAATGATTGTCTCAGTTTGTAAATTTGAGGAAAAAATGTAAATTCAAAAAATGAGTGTACGTTAGTTTTTAAACAGAAATTTAAAAATTTTACTAACAAATTTTTTTTTTCAATTAATTTTTTTTTTCCAACTAATACTAACCGAGGGGGCAATTGGTAATGCTAGTTTAAACCTTAGGGAAGGGATTATAATTTTTAAAATGGGAGGGGTGTCAATGTAATTTACCTAGTGATGGCAAAATTGGTATTTAAAAAAATTAAATTGCTAAGGGGGAAATCTGTAATGAAACTTTAAACCTCAGGGGGAGAGATGTAATTTCTAAAATGTGAGGGGGGTAACTGTAATAAACATAAACCTCAGAGGGGTGTCAGTGTAATTTACCCAATAATTTTAGGGCAAATTTCACTTTATTCCGTATAGTTTTGGCTATTTACGGATTATTTCTTGACGTTCGAATATCACTACATAATCTCTTGTGATTGATGAACTAAAACGCACACTAATTTCTGTTAACAGAAATTGTAAATTGATAATTATACCCTCATCTTCATTTTGTTATTCTCTCTCTTCATTTCAGAGAAAACCCAATTCTCTCTCCACATCTTTATCTTTTTATTTTCTCTCTATTTATTTCAAACTTTATATGTATATATACATATATATATATACATACACAATCTCATCTTCATATATATCTCTCTCTCTCTCTCTCTCTCTATCTCTCTATTTCAAACTTTGTTTCTTGTTCTATTCCGATTTAGTTTCTTTTTTAACACCTTTACTTTTGCTCTGACAGCTTCAAGCTCTGCAACGACTTTTGTATAATCAGCAACTTGTGACTCTAATCTTCTATTTTTTTTTTTTTGTCAATAATAATCATCTCTGAATCAACACAGAAAACATGAAAGAAATCAAAAGGCTAATCAAAATAATGTTAATTTGAAAGAAATCATTAAAAAAAAAACAAACCCAAATCAAAAGTCTAATTTTTTACCCAAAAATAGATTTGCATAAATCATGATTTGAATAAATTAAGAATAGATGGCTCTGAAGTGGCTGAGGTTATAGATGAAGTTCTCCACTTCGTTGGAGATCGACAATATATGCATAGGAGGAATTTCAGTTCTCTTCAATCAAAAAAATAAAATAAATTAACATGGGTTTGGATTTGTGTATGTATACAAATATATGTATATATATGTGTGTGTATATGTATGGGAGGAATTTTATTTCTCTCCAATAAAAAAATTAAAAAAAAAATCAAATGGGTTTGGATTTGTATATGTATATGTACATGCACATGATCAAGAAAAATATATATATGTACACATGATTAAAAAAGTGTTTGTTCAATTGATCAGAGATGTGTTTGATCATCCTGTGAAAGAGAATAGATATGGGTGGTGGTTTGAGGGGAGGAGAGAGAGAGAGAGAGAGAGAGAGTAGAGATGAAGAAAAAGAAGGTTGAAAATAAAATGGCATCTTTTGTAAATTTGAAGATGTAGAAAGTGTATTTTCGTCATAAAAACGGACTCACTCTCTATAGAGATGCGTGACTTTCACATTCTGTTATCTTAGACAAAAAAGTTAACTGTGCGTTTTAGTCCATCAACCACAGGGGGTTATGTGGTAATTTCTGAATGTCATGGGGGTAAACCGCACTCGGCCCAAACCACAGGGATAAAGTGAAGTTTGCTCATAATTTTATAAGGCAAAATTTATTATTTTAGTCAAATAAAATAAAATATTATATTTAATTTATAATTATTTTATTTTTTCTCTTATAAAAATAAAAAAAAAGTTAAAAACCTATTCCAAATAAGATTTTTTAGCCCTTGATAAAATAGTCAAAAAGTTAAAACATCAACCCACATCCCAAACTAAATTTATTATTAAATTTAAATTTGGTGAAATAAGTTACTTTTTACTCCTCTAATAATTTATTAAATTCATTATCAAATTCAGAATTTCACTTTTCTTCCATCAAATTGAAAATCAATATCTTTTATAAAATCACTATTCATTATCGTTGAATTTTTACCACCAAATATCCCTAGATGTCTCCCAGATGATCACCTCAAGACAAAAATTTATAAAAAAAATTACACTGGCCGATCAACCGACTGGTGGTTTAATAAAATTACAAAACCCTCCATTAGTGCACTTGATATCAAAAGTGAAAAAATTAATATGCTGTTAGAGATGCCCGTAATCTCCATAATTTGACTTTTTAAAAAAGTAAACCTTCTATTTTTAAATTCTATTTTTTATGCTATCAATTTAAATTCTATATATTTTTAGTTGGTATCAATCCTAGCCATTGATCCAATTTTGTTTACTAATTTAATTGATAAATAATATAGTCTGTTTACCCATTACATTATGAATAATTTTGTCAAACTCACACTACTATAACCATTGTGCTACTCTCATCTTCTCATTTTTAGTTATTCTTAAACCACCTCCAAATGGTTACTCAAATATTTTATTAAATTTAAATTTGATGAAAATTAAGTATTTTTACTGCTTCAACAGTTGCATCAAATAAGTATCAAATTGAGGATTTTACTTTTCTGTTATCAAACTGAGGATCAATGTGTTTTTCATCAAATCATTGTTCATTATTGTTGCCAGATGTCCTCTTGGATGACCACCTCAAGGCAAAAATTTGTGAAAAAATACACTGGCTGGTCAACCGCCCGGTCAACCATCTCAAGAGAAAATATATATATATATATATATATTTTATGCTGGCCAGTCAACTGGCCGGACATCCACCCAGTTGTCTGCTCGGTCGACTGGTGGCCTGATGAAGCTCCAAAATCCTCCATTTGAGCATTTGATAACAAAGAAAACTTTTACTCAAATTTGATTAAAAAAAAAATTTGTTGCATCGTTGGAGATGCTCTTACTCAATCTCTTTTCAAATGCTATTTACACCATTAGTTTTTCTCTCCCAATGCCACTATCATTTCTTCTATTTCATTTCCAGTCATACCTAATCAATCACGAACAAACTCAGCAAAATCTAATAAAGATTAAATTAATTAATTCTAAACTAGGTAAATGAGGCAATTTGCGATCCTTCAGCAACAATAAAGCAAGTGATATGCAATCTCCAAAGTTTGGTAATGAAAAGCAAGCGGCCTATGATTTTATGGTAGATGGGACGTATGATATTTGATTGTTTTATGCATTAGTAAAAAGGATGATAAAAGGTAATGACAATTATAGTAAGCTTGCAATAAAAGTAAATAAATCAATTGTAGTAAGAGGTTCGATAGTACTATACGTAAAGGTTTTGATGACATTTTGTGGATGGTTTACTATTGGTGACAATAGTGGAGTAAACACTAAAAGTAAAGGCTAGTAGTGACTGGATCAAAGTGTTAACCACAAGTTAGTTTAATGGGAGCAGCATTTAAACCAAACCAAGTTTCC